GATTTAGTGTAATCCTATCGAAATCCCAGTGACATCATACAAAAGCCTAAAATTCATATGGAACACAAAGCACCTCAAATAGCCAAAACAATCTTGAGGAAGAATAAAAGTAAGAGCATCAGGCTTTCTGATTTGCAAAGCTCCAGTAATCGAAGCCTTTTGATACTGCTGCAGAGACAAATGGGCCAAGAGAACAGACTAAAGAGCCCAGAAGTAAACTCACACATGTATGATGAGTTTAATCTTCAACAGGAGCCAAGAATACAGAATGAATATATAGCCAATATATTTTTCAAAATACCATGTCAAAACTTGAACTAGAGAAAGTGCTTTAATTTGTGTTTTAGTGGTACTTTTCTTAAAAGTTTTTTTTCTGAATTCTTGTATTTCCAGAGTTCAGTAGAGTTTTTATTAAAATTTTTTACATATTTGCCTCAAAAATTAAAAAAAAAATGCACGACATGGCAAGGATAATCTCTTCAAGAAATATTTTTGGGAAAACTGGATATTTGCATTCAAAGGAATGAAATTAGACCTTAACATCATACATAAAAATCAATGCAAAATGGATAAAAGACTTGAAACTAAAACTATAAAACTAGAGAAAACAGGAGAAAAACTTTACGATATTATTATTAGCAAAGATTTCTTGGATATGATACCAAAAACACAGATTACTAAAATAAAAATAGCCAAGCAGGACTTCATCAAACTCAAAAGCTCCCATACAAAAAATATATTTTTTCATTGTCAGTGCTTGCCAGAGAGATAGAGACAGAGATGGAAAGAGATGAAGACGGGGCGTGGGGGAAAGAACTAACCCCCAGTTGGGCATGGTTGTGCCACAATCCCGTCTCCTCCATTTCTCCATCCTGTTTGGATCTGGGGCATACACACACACACACACACACACACACACACAAACCTGGTATGTTTCTCAAGCTGCTGGGGCCGGGACTTGAACCATGCAGTTTGGCCATGTGGAATTTGGCTCCCTAACCACCAAGGCACAGGGCCAGCCCATAAAAGGGTTAATGTCTAAAATACATGAGGAATTCCTTCAACAGAACAGCAAAACAAAACAGAACAATAGCCTGATAAAAAAATGGACAAAAACTTTGAACAGACATTTATCAAAAGAAGACATAAAAATGTCCGGCAGGTTTGCTTTTAAAAGTTCAGTATCACTAACCCACTAGGAATGTGCAAATCAAAATGAGATAGTGCTTTATACCGATTGAGATGGCTACTATTAGAAAACAAAAATAGAGGAACCAGCAGTTAGCATAATGGCTATGTCGCTGGACTCCCATGTAGTAGACCATGGTTCGAGTACCGACCCAGCAGCTTAAACTCTCGCTGGGTGTTTGTGTGTGGGTACCCAAGGTCCCGAGAGGAGAAAGGATTGTGGCATGGCCATCCCCCTTGGGGGTGATTTCTCACTTTCTGTCTCTCTGTCTCTCTCTGTCTTTCTGGCGAGCGCACGCACCCTATAGCAAAAACCTCTCCAAAAAAAGAGAAAAAAAGAAAAAAAAATAGAAGATAGCAATTATTGGCAAGGAGGTGGATAAATTGAAACCCTTTGTATGTGGCTAGTGGGAATGTAAAATTGTAGAGCATCTGTGGAAAACAGTATAGAAGTTTCTCTAAATTTTTTAAAAGAACTAATATTTATCATTTTTTTAAAAAATTTGATACAGGCATTCTTCTTTTTTTTTTTGGCTTTGAAAACAACTACCATAAAATCTAGCAATCTCTCTTTTGTGTATTTATTCAAAACAATGTAAATCAGAATCTTGAAGGATATTAGCAAAGCTGGCAGATGGTGTGGTGGTTAAGGGCGTTGGACTCCCACATGGCCGACTGCAGTTCAAGTCCCAGACCTGGTGACATACTTTCTCTCTTTCTTTCTCTCTCTCTCTCTCTCTGTCTTTCTCTCTATCCCTCTCTTGTCAAATTAAATACATAAAGTTAAATAAAATATTTCTTAAAAAAATAAGAAAAGATGTTAGCATTCCTATGTTCACTGCAGCATTATTTACAATTGCCAAGATGTAGAACTAATGTAAATGTCTACTGACAGATGAATGGATAAAGGAGATGTGATGTATATGCAAATAGAGTATTGCACATCCTTTGAAAAGAAATAAATCCTGCCATTTGTGCTTTGAGGGTAGTATGCTAAGTGAAATAAGCCAGTAGCAGAAAAACAAATACTGCATAATTCCTGCGATAAGAGGTACAGAAAATAATCAAACTCACAGAATCAGAGATTGGTGATTGACAAGAGATGATGGGAGGGGGAAATGGGGAGTTACTATTCAACAGTTTTTTTTTTTTCGGTTTTAGATTTTTGGTTTTTGGAGAGGTTTTTGCTGTAGGGCACGTGCCCTACAGAAAGACAGAGAGACAGAAAGCAAGAAATCATCCCCCAGGGGGATGATTGCCACATCGCAATCCCTTCTCCTTCATTCTCCTCTCTGGATCTTGGGCACGCATGCACATGCTCCTGGCTTGAGTTTAAGCCACCAGGTCCAGGACTCGAACCGTTGTCGACTACATGGGAGTCCAGCTACATAGCCATTGTGCCAACTGCTGGTTCCATTATTCAACAGTTTTTAAGTTTCAGTTACATAAATGAGTAAGTTCTGGAGATCTGTTATACAACACTGTGCTGATGGTAAGTAGAGTATTGTACACTTAAAAGTTTGTTAGAAAGATAGATCTCTTAATTAAGTGTTACATTTATAATAATTTTTTGAATAAGAAGAAAAGAACCAAGCAGAAATAGAAACAACACAGAAGAGGAAAATATTGGATTAAAGTTTTTGTTGAGATAAGAAAATATATATTGTATCCATTAAGGATACAGTAGAAATTGAATACTATGACTTCCTTTTGGCCGGAACCGCCATCTTCCAGTAATTGACCAAAATGACAAACACAAAGGGAAAGGGGAAAGGCACCTGATATATGTTTTCTAGAGGCACCCGATATATGTTCTCTAGGTCTTTTAGAAAACATGGAGTTGTTCCTTTGGCAACATATATGCGAATCTACAAGAAAGGTGATATCGTAGACATTAAGGGGATGGGTACTGTTCAGAAAGGAATGCCCCACAGATGTTACCATGGCAAAACTGGGAGAGTCTACAATGTTACCCAGCATGCTGTTGACATTGTTGTGAGCAAACAAATTAAGGGCAAGATTCTTGCCAAGAGAATCAATGTGCATATTGAGCATATTAAACATTCTAAGAGCAGAGATAGCTTCCTAAAATGTGTGAAGGAAAATGACCAGAAAAAGAAAGAAGCCAAAGAGAAAGGTACCTGGGTTCAACTAAAGTACCAACCTGCTCCACCCAGAGAAGCACATTTTGTGAGAACCAATGGAAAGGAGCCTGAGCTACTGGAACCTATTCCCTATGAATTCATGGCTTGATGGGTGTTAAAAATAAACTAATCTGTGGTCTATAAAAAATTTTAAAAAAGAAATTAAATGCTACGAAAAAGGGAATATTCTAAGAACAATTAAATGCAATAGTAGAATGGAAATTTTAGTAGAAGGATTAGAAGATAAAGTGAGATTTCTCAGGAATAAAAAACAATCAGAAGAAAGAAAAAAAGAAAAATATAGAAATATTAAAATTTGGAGGAAAAAGAGGAAATTCAACATCAAATAATATGAGTTCTAGAAAAAGATGATAAAGAGTGGAGGAAATAAAAGTATCAAAGAAATCACTTAGAAACATTTTCTGGAGCTAAAACATGTGAGTTTCTAGGTTAAAAGTCTCACAGCATGTCTAGTGTAGAAAATGAAAAACACCAAACATTATGAAACTTCAGAGCACCAAGGCCTGGAATAAGCTGAATGAATTTATACCATTTGGTAGAGTGTAAGATTGAGTAGCTGCCAAATACATAGAAAGTAAGTGGGGGAAAAATACTTTTACTGACTCAAGGAAAAACAAAAGGTAGCTATGGTATATGTTACAAAAGGAAATAGCATTTTTATAACATTTTATCCTTATAATGTCTACATTGAATATTGAACTAACTACATATATATTATAACAGTTATAGGGACAGTAAAAGAGGTAAAAAGGGTGGAGAAGGGGGGATTTGAAAGAGAATAGCTTTATTCCTCTACAGCAGGAAATTAATAGGAATCTTGAGGGACCAGCAGATGGTACAGTGGTTACATCATTGGACTCCCACATGGCTGACCATGGTTTGAATCCTGCATCTGGTGACTTCAAAATCACTCTGGGTACATGTGAATGCATGCCCAAGATCCCAGCAGGAGAAGGGAGGAGAAAGGATTATGGCATGGCCATACCCCCAAGGCAATGATTTCTCACTTTCCCTCTCACTGTGTTTGTCTCTCTCTCCTATGAGTGCACATGCCTTAAGGCAATAACCTCTTAAAAAAAAAGAAAACTTGAAACTGATATCAAGGTTTAATTGCATATCATTCATTGGTATATTTAATGGGACATAGGTATAATTTTTATAAAAACATAAGTCGGATCTTATATGGGATACCTGTCCCTTAGACCCATAATTTTGTTTTTAAGAATTATTTTATTTAACTTTATTTATTTATACCAGAGAGGAACAGAGTGAAGGGGAGAGAGAGAGGAGAGGGAAAGTGACAAAGCAAGCCACTAGGTTCGGGACTCAAGCCGTGGTCAGCCATGCAGGAGTCCAGCGCCCTTAACCACCACACCACCTTCCATCCCCAGATCCATAACTTTTATGTGGAGCAAAAAAAATCTAGGAAGTAAGCCAGTATTAGATCTGGAATAAGTTGGCTCTTTAATAGATTATTTATCTCTAATTAGATTTACTATCTTGATGCCCTTTTTATGCTATCTCGTCCAGAAACTTCTTCATTTACCATAGTTTGGTTGAGGTGAAGGCCCTCAGGAAGGGAAGGTAACCTGCCACTTGTAAGCTGTTCTTCAAAGTGTTACACAATTTTCTCCCCTGGTTTTTCAGATTGGGAGTGTCCGAAGTTAAAAGAACACATGCATTACAAGAATTCCACTCTTCTGGATACCAGTAAAGCAGCAGCAATAGAAAAGGTGCCACAGTTTTCAAACATCTCTGCAATTTTAAGTGAGTTTTCTCGTTTACTTTTCTTATGTCACGGGGAAAGTCCTTCCTCTTTATTGAAAAAGCAAAATATTGTTTCTCTTGAATGATTTCAAACTAATCAGTTGGGATTGCCTTTGGGTGCAAATAATACTTAGTAGCTGAAGTATATATGGGTTTACTCTTTTATAACTCTTTCTTTTCAACTAGTTTAAGACTCAGAGAAATTTGTAAAATTAGCACAGAGGGTTCCCATGTGCTTCCCATCCAGCCTTCCCTTATGTTATCTTATTGTAACCTTTGCATAATGACTCAAAACCAGGATGTTAACATTGGTGTAAAACTATGAACTAAATTACAGATCTTACTCAGATTTCACCAGTTTTTCCACTATTATTTTTTCTTCTGCTTCAGTATCCTATCCAGATCCCATACTGTATTTAATTATTTCTCCTTAGTCTTCTGCAGTCCATAACGGTTCCTCAATCTTTCATGATCGTGATACTTTTGAAGGTTACTGATCAGTTATTTTGAAGAATGACCCTCATTTTGGATTTGTGTTGATGTTTGCTCATGATTGGAATAGGAATATGCAACTTTCGTTCATAATAGCACTGAAATGATGTCATGCCCCTCTCAGTCCATTGTGTGAGAAACCCATATACTAAATAGATTACAGAATTTATGTATACTTCTTTTTGTTTTTAGTATTACAGTGTCTAGTCAAGACACTGTTTTCCAACTTTACAAAAGATTGTTCTCCCCTGCAACCCCTTTCAGTGTATAAGAGGTATTATTCACTTGTAATATAGTAACAGTTAGGTTCATTTGTCAATATTGAGTTTGATGTTAGATCCACTTATCCTGTTTAGTCTAGTTTATTTATTCAGGAGATGTGTGGAAATATGTAATATATTACTATGGCTCCAAGAGTCATAGCTATACCGACAAATATTCTCTGCAAATTGTCATTTCCTCCTTTGACTTCCTGCTACCCTTATCCCAGTATCCAATTTCTATCCATTTCCTAACTATCCAGGTAGATAAGTCTCCTTAGTTTCTAATTTATCCTTCCTATACTTCATTTATACAAATGTACAGTTAACTGTACGTTTTTTCATATCATCCTCTCTTGAAGCATAGCACAATATATAGCTACTCTTTTTCATTTTGCATTTTTTACTTAGCAATATATACTAGCAATTCCTTCATATGGGTTTATAGAGATCTTTCTCTATATCATTTTTGCAGTTGCATAGTATTCCACTATGTGCTTTTACTTTTGTTTATCCAACTACTCTTCTGTAATTGGGAAGTTAGGATTTTTCTCAGTATTTTGCTACTACAAACAATGCTGCAACAAATCAACTTATATTATTAGTAGTATATCTTTAAGATAAATTCCCAGAGGTAGAATGACTGGGTCCAAAGGTAAGAAGATATGTGTTTTTATTGTGTATTGCCAAATTTTCCTTCAGAAGGATTGTATAAGTTTGCATTCCTACCAACAGTGTATGAAAGCACTTGTCTCCCCAAATTCTTCCCAGCACAATATTTAAAATATTGTATAAAAATATTTAATATTTTTGCTGCCCTAATAGAGGAGAAATGGCATCTTTGTGTTGTTTTAATTTTCTTAATTATTTGTGAATTTAAGCATTTTTCATGTGTTTATAAGGCATTATTTTTCTTTCTTTCTATATGAAGTTTCTGTTAATGCCTGTTTCCCATTTTTTGATCTGTTTTTTCATCCTTTAACCTCAATTTTTTTTTTTTTTGGAGAGATGTTCACTGTAGGGCGCGTGCGCTCGCCAGACAGACCGAGAGAGACATAGAGACAGAAAGCGAGAAATCACCCCCCAGGGGGGATGGTCATGCCGCAATCCCTTCTCCTCCATTCTCCTCTCGGGATCTTGGGCACGCACGCACACGTGCCCGGCGTGAGTTTTAAGCCACCGGGTCCGGGACACGAACCGCGGTCGACTACGTGGGAGTCCAGAGACATAGCCATTACGCTAACTGCTGGTTCCCTAATTTCAATTTTTTAGAATTCTTTTTATATTGAGAAGTTTAGTCTTTTGTCTGTTATTTAGAGAGTGAGTACTTTCTCCTAATTTGTCATTTATCTTTTTGTTTGTGGTACTTTTTGTTATGCAAAAATGTTTATGTATATTGGGTTTACTTTTGTCCTCTACCAGTCCAGAGCTAATGTAGCAGTTCTCTTATATCATCAAAGTCCTAGACTCTTTATATCTTTTTGTTACCAAGTACGTTGGCTTGTTACACCATAGTTGTAAGATGGTTGGTTTCTAGAGCTCTAGGCATTACAGCTTTGTTCCAGGCAGAAAGAATGAGAAAGGAAGCCATGCATGGCTTCTGTTTTTATTGCTTTTTTAAAAATTGCATTTAATTACATATATCTTTACAATATATAACGTTTTTAAAGCATGATTACCATGCATGTCAGTCAAGACAAAGACATTAGTATCTACATTATCATCAAATAGCTTTTACTTTTTTTCAGATTATTATTTTTTATTCTCATTTAAAATTTTTTTTTATTTTTTAATTTCACTTTCTTGTGTACATTTGATCACATATGTCATTTAGCTTGTAAAGTGAATATTCCAACATGAATACACTTCACACCAGTCCAGTTGAAGATACTACACACTTTATGATCAACAGATAACCATCCGTTTCTTGTCCCATAAATATCTGGCTCTGTTTTTCTCCTTGATTCCCTTCTTCCCACTCTCCCTCTTCTCCCACATTCTTCCCCACACTGTTTCCAGAATCTGTAAGCATTTTCCATGCTTTTATACCCTCTGATCTTTCAGTTTCCACCACAGAGTGTAGATAGTCAATATATATCAAGTGGAGACATACAATGTCTCACCCGTTGATGAATTTCTAAGGGTATTATCTTTTACCTTTCTCCCAGCATTTCAGCCCTCAAATCTGCTAATTTAGCATTGCATCATTTCTTCCAAATTATGATATCAACATGCTAATTATCCCCAAGTATTCCTCTTTTCATATTGTTTTCCATTCCATAGCCTGAGAGTTTTCTTGTTCTCATCAGTCGCCTGCTTAAAATATGTTTTTCATACATTCCACCAACACAATTTAATGCACCAGGACCCTAGACATCAAGGAGATCATGATGCTCTGTATATTTAATTTTTAAATATATATACACATAAACACACGCACGCTCACCCACACTTATGTGTTTGTATATCTTTGTGTGTGTGTGTTAGACATATGAAAGCATCAAAGCTATGAAAGATTTCCATTGCAATTTAGAAATGCATTAAAAGTGTTCTTGCCTCAATTGCATATTCATTCATCCATTTAATAACTGTTCTTTGATGTCTCTTTAATGCCTTCATGATAAAGTTCAAACTCATTAGTATTACATACAAGTGCCTTCATGATCATATCTCTGTCTTTCTCTATAGCTATATTTTCTGCTACTCTTTCATATCTTTTCTATATTCCAATCACAAGTTTTGTCTGCACTATAATCTTGTCACCTCCTTGAAACTTAGAATTTCTCTCCCTTTTATGGGAAATACCTTTTCTTGTTCATAGAAGCTGAAACTTACTTATTCAGAGTAACCCACCTGCCCTTCCATGTTGTTAGAGATGCTTCACTGTCCACAAATCCATGTCACCAGCTATCTAATTGTATGATAATTGTTTATTTTATGATCTCCTATGAACTTTTTTTTTTGAGAGTTTTTTTTTTTTTTTTTCACTATAGGGCACGTGTGCTTGCCAGAAAGACAGAGACAGAGAGATACAAAGCAAGAAATCACCCCCC